CACAGAAGCAGCCAAGGCAATACAAAAGCAAATAGGAATGGCTGACTTCCTCCAAGACTTGACAAAAACAGGCTGGGCTGGACTTGATCTGTAGGCCATAGTTTGAGCATCTTTTTACTTGCGGAGCTTAAACTCTAGGATAGTGGAATCCACTTGCTGGGCTGGAAGGGGATAAATGAATCAAACTGCAGTTGAAGCTGGCATGATGGTTGAGCCACTGGACTTTCACAGTCAACCATAATTTGAGTCCTGGACCCAGCATTTTGAGAATCATGCTGGGCATGTGTTTGCGAGTCCAAAATCCTGAGAGACTGAAAGAGAAGGGATAGCGGTGTAGCCATCCCCACTGGGGGGTGATTTTTTACTTTCCCTCTCTCTGTATCTCTCCAGTGAGGACATGTACTCTTAAGGCAAAAATCTGAAAGGAAAAAAAAAAAGGCAAAGCAGGGAAACCTTGCTGAAAAAGTGACTCTTGAACAAGGGAGGAAGTCATATTTGGGAGAAGAGTATTGGAGCATAAAGTTGAAATGCTCAAAAGCCCTGAAGGGGTAAAGGGCTGGAGGAGAGGGCAGCTGGAGTAAAGCAAGTGAGGGATAAAGGAGGTGAGGAGGAAGCAAATCACACAGGATTCCAGACTTTGGAAACCTGGGCTTTTATTCATAGTTAAAGGAGACAAGAAGATGCCACTGGAAATTACTGAGCAGATGTGTGTCCTGATCTGATGCCCCTGTGTAAAGGATCACTCTGTTGAAGAGGTTGCAAGAGAGCAAGAGTGAAAGTGGGAACCTCACTAGAGGAAGTTGTAATAATCTAGGTGAAAGGTGAGGGTGAGAAGTCTTCTGTTTTGGTAAAGGTAGAGACTAGAGGATTTTGTGACACAAATATTACGATTATGAAGCTTTGGTTAGAAACTTAACTGATTGGAGGTCCAATCTCTGTGGCACAATCAATAATGTACTGAACTGTGGTGCTGGAAGCCATATGGCTGACCACAGTTTGGATTCCAGGCCCAGTTACCTGAAAAACACAAGGTACGTGCACAGGTCCAAGATCCTGGTGAGCTGCAAGGCTGGAGGAAGGAGATAACAGGTGACCAGACCCTGGTGTGAGTGTTTCTCTTTCTTTCTCTCATCTACGTGTTCTCAATTATGAATAAAATTTAAAAATTAAAATATGAAACTTAGCTGCGAGAGACTTAATTTGGCAATTCAATGCAAAAAACACTAGACACAGCACGTATTTGGAATCAAAAATATAAAAACACAGGGCCCATTTCTGTTATTGATTTCATCAATTAATATTGACATAATATTTGAGACAACTCAGTTCCCTCTGGATTGTTATGATTTCATCCCCTATCCATTCCAACTTATCAAAGTGAGGATTCATGTATGCTAAGTGGTGTCCAACCAGCTTCTAACCTAAAGAATGAATCTGATGAGTGTCTTGGCCAGCTGTCTGATCCTATAAAGAATATTTCCCAATGGGGATTCCACAGATTTGAGGCTGACTTATATAAAACTCAGTTTGGAAATGTTTCTGTGACCAAATGGTCCCACATACCATAGTTGCTTCTCAGAGATTCAAAATGCACATAAAGTGGGGCCAGCTCCCCACTTCAGTGCAGGGATAATGCACTGCTCAAGAGAAGCCAGATTACAATGATGACAGTAGAGTTCTGGGCTCCCTCAGCCTGTGCCAAGCACATGCATGATGATAGCCTAAGACCCAATGGGCTGGAGGACTGGAGGACTGGAGGACTGGAGGGAGGACTGGAGGACTGAAGAAGGGAGAACACAGCATGACCAGACCTTGTAGGAGGTGCACATGGACTAACACCCTCCATTATATTTTGCTTAGTCAACTCGAACTATGAATAAACTCCTCTTTCTCTTGCTCTCATACATGTGCACATGACTTCATCATGAGTAAAGAAAAAAACTTTAAAGAAAGGTAAAGTTTCTGAGTAATCTTGCTACCAAAAGAAAAAAGAAAGGCAAAATCTCTTCATCTATGAATCTCTCTCCTTAACCCCCAACTTCCTACTTTTCCATTTGCTTCTATCTTAACCACAACATAAAATACTCATAGTAAATAGAACACACAACTAGCAAATAAACACTTCTCTCTCAGACCTGAGAATTACTGTATAATTTATTTCCATATAAATTATCCTGTCTCTCTCATAAGGTTGTTGTTGCAAAAACAAAATGTGATTACGTACAAATGTACATAATCCATCTCTAAAATATGCAGCCATGTGGGCAAGGGCAGTGTTTCACATAAAGAAGAGAAAACCTGAAGGCCAAGTGGTGGCACAGTGATAGCACAACTCAACCTATATGAGAAAGGTCCTGGGTTCATGTCCTGGGACCTCTTTAGGCAAATGTGATCTAGGCTGGCTGAAACCAGGAATAGATTAAGACCCTGTTGGAAGTGTCTGCTTATCTTTCTCTCTCATAGAAGAAATAGTTAAAATTAAAAAAAAAAAAAAAGGAGAAAATTTGAGAAAGATGTTTTGAACAAGGAACAGAAAAATATCCACACAGGTTTTGAACACTAGAGTAGAGGTTATCTTGAGAGACTGCAGGCCATCCATTCTAACAATGAACTTCATCCTTGTATTACCAAGGTCAGATTATTTATCTTTATTAAAATGCTACCTTTTGAATTATAAGTTTTGTTACTCTAGATATCAAGTAACTAAAAACTGCATGAAAAGATGTGAAAATCCATTTTAGTAAAAAAAAAAAAAGGAAAACTACCTTGACATTTTATATTATGCTTTGAATTTAAGTATATGATAAAATTATATTTTTGGATTATGTAATATACCAAAATATGCCAAATTTCATTTTGAAAAAAATATGTATTTAATATTTTCTGATTACAAAAGCATACATGCTCATGATATGAGAGCTAAAGTACAGAGTAAGTATAAAAAAGAAAATTTAAAAAAGAATCTTAGTTCACCATACAAATATATAAGCTTAATTTTTCATTTCATTTCCATTTAATTTTCTTACACATAAATATTACAGACACAACTTACTTCTTATGCAACTGGGACCATCCTTACATAGAGTTTTAAATCTTGCTTTTTCTACTTAAACAAGCTTGATTTTCTCTGTTTTCCCTTAGATGTTGTTCAACAATTTTCAGCATCTTCATTAAAGTCCATCACGTGGGGATACCATAGTTCATTGACCCATTCTTTCATTAGTGGAGAGCTGATTTTCTCCATATTTTCATTGTGTGAAGAATGCTATAAGGATAATTCTCAAACACAGTTCTTGGTGTGTGCAGTTCTGATCATTTCCTCAGGAAAAATTCCCAGAAATAAAAATTCTGGGACTGAGCATACAATTTTAAGGTTTTACTATATATTGTCAAAGTGCTACCACCTTTCTGGAGAGAAGTTTATATTCCCAGTCACAGTGTTTAAGAATGTTTATCTCATGTTACTCCTCTGGTACTTAATGCTGCCTTAAACAAATATCTGCACATTTCTCATTGTTATACATTACTTACTTTTGCTTTGATTTGTATTTTTTTTTATTACTAGTGAGCCTTTTTTTTCTTTTTTTAAAGTTTCTTGGAGATAGTTCCCCCCTGTGAATTCCTGTGTAATGCCCATATATTTATCCAGTGTTCCTCTTGAAAACAACTGCTCATAAGACTCCTTAACTTTGTTATATTTTTTTCTAATGCTTTGTTGCTAGTTTAGATTTAGGCTGTTTCTAACTTACGATGTAAAGGCACTGTTTTTCCTTCTGCAATTTCATTACTAGTGAGCCTTTTTTTTCTTTTTTTAAAGTTTCTTGGAGATAGTTCCCCCCTGTGAATTCCTGTGTAATGCCCATATATTTATCCAGAGTGTTCCTCTTGAAAACAACTGCTCATAAGACTCCTTAACTTTGTTATATTTTTTTCTAATGCTTTGTTGCTAGTTTAGATTTAGGCTGTTTCTAACTTACGATGTAAAGGCACTGTTTTTCCTTCTGCAATTTCATGAGCTAAAACAAAATTAATTAAAATAATTCAGGCTGAGGCAAACATGGCACCTATCAACATTAGCCCAACGCTACCTCCAAACAGGTGCAACCAAGTGGAGATTCCTCTTCCAGAAGCTACTGTTCTTTGGGAACTTTATCCAGCAAGTTTACACCTTGGCCTCTGGCCTCTCCAATTGAAATGCAAAGTCCATTTCCTCATTAACTCAGTACTTTTTGTTTTGTTTTGATTGTGGTTCTTTACAAGTCATTGTGATCCTGGTCCTGGATGCTCTACCAGGAAACTGAAGGACATGCAGTGGGGACAGGTGGGTCCCTCTTCCATCACAGTCCCAGCATCTTCACACACCTTTTGTTGTGAGGCATTCCAGCGATGGCGGCACTTCTAATTAGCACAGAGCTTCTGCCTGGATTTATTTTCATTTCCATACATATTACTGTTGATAGGAAGGCAAGCTGCCTATCACAGATGCTAAACAATTGGTTGTTTAACCACTCGGCAACTGCGGTTTCCACACTGAGTGAGGTGGAGAGTGTGCACATTTACACAACTTCTTTGGCATCAAAGTCTCTTACAAGAATGTTCTCAGATGAGATTTCCTGCAGTGACAAAAAACACACTTGAGTTTTTTTTCTCTCTCCATTTCACAGTTCTTGTCTACCAGCCACTGGCAGAAGTCACCATTTCTTCAGCAAAGGAAGACTGCTTTCCAAAATCCTTTGGCAGAATCTCCTAGAGATTTGTTTTTCTGCTCCTTCCTAATATAGAAACAGTCTTCAAAGAGGGAAGAAGAAAAAAAAAAAAACCCTGACAAATTGATATAAGAAACTAACTCTGATTTAGTTTCACATTTCTTGGAAAGTTTCAGAGTTTATCATCTACAACCAGAGACTGGACCAGAGAATTTGAGGGTTGGGAAGAAAAAGTAAATGAAATGTTGTGTATCCCAATATTCAAATGATGTTTATTCTAGTCAAGAAGCAATATGTGATACAAATTCAAGATTTTATTACAATTGCTTGTAAGTTAAATTAACATGATATCTTGGTCATGAAGGAAGACTCTTAACAGAGCAAAGTAATGAGTTTTGCGAATGAAGAGGAAGAGTGCAAAGTGTTAACTGCGATACCGAAGTGGTTACATGATTTTAATTGTTCGCAATGTCTTTCCAAGCAACTAAAACTGTGCCTACTATGGAATTTGCAGTTGAATTAAAGCTTTGTTTCTGGACTTGGGAGATTTTAAAAAAGGAACAAGTGGAAACTGGTTTTAAGGCTATATATATATATATAATGTATATAAAATCTACCACCTACCAAAAGAATTTAAAAGGTAAGGCGGTAAGCACTAGAAAAAGTGAAAAGGAGAAAAAAGGAAAAAAGCCACACACATACATTGCATTTATTTGTGAGACAGAAGTGTTAGTGAGAGAAAGGGCCAGGAGCCCCGCCTGGGCCAGCCCTTATTTGTTCTTGGCTGTCAGAGGTTTCCGGCTGATCTTTTTCGATTTGTCATTATTCTTCTTTGGTGGTTCTGGGTTGGCCTGCATGTGTCTGCCATAGAGGCTGAAACGAGAGACAGAGAGAGAAAGAGAGAGAGGAACCATGAGATGATTTTATTACCAATAACATAAGACGAGCTCCTGTTGGGAGAGCTTTAAATCACAGATTAATCTCCAGAAATCGTCAGTAAGCTAAAGAACACTCAAAAAAAAAAAAATCACTTCTGTTTTCTCTGGCTCATACACTGTATTTCAGAATTTAAAATTCGCTTACACACAGGCGTGTGCACACCACGCTGTGATGTCCTAGCATGGACAGTGTCTTGGAATTTCACACACTGGGCAGGAGGCGAAAACAGCGAGACAGGGATCTTGGGGACTGTGAGAACCGGCGCTGCTCAGCCCAGCCCTCCAGACTGCAGCACAGAAGGCTGTGTGTGGCTGAGCCGACCATGACACAAATTGGGTTGAACTGAAGAGATAGAGTGTCCATTTAGTGAAAAGTGAGCCTCAGGCTTGGCCTAAAAGCCCAGGGGCTGGCTAATGTGACAAAGAGCAATGGTGTCCGTGTCTGCTTGGGCTGCGCACGCGTGATTGATGGTGTGGGGAAGGCTACCACACATCAATGCCACATTAATAAGCGCTGCTGATTAAATGTTGACAAAGTGCCCTACAATTACTGTGGACGGCAGTCATTGCAGAGCAAAGCTGGTTCCATGGCTGAGAGGATTTAACTGAACAGCAGATAGTAATTAATCGCTAATTTATGAGTAATTCTGATTAAACTAAATTAAAAGCTGCCCTAAGATAAATACAGCCCAACCTTCACCCCCATGATGGATACAACTGTGTCTCCAAAGGACACCTGTGGGCATCTCCATGCTCTCCGTTCCTCTAGAGAAAAGCTGTTACATGACTATTGGCTGCAGTGGCCTTGGACCGATGGGCTGAGGGTTGACTCAGACTGGCCTCCCTGTACAAGGTGCTCTTAGTTCTAATATTCACTCAAAAAACTGGTACCCTGTCTCCAGCCTGGCATTTGTGGCATGCATGGTGTGCATCATTCAGCATACACTGCTGTTCTGGATGCCATTGTCACTGTGGCTGAGGGGAGGGACTGCCTTAGGGAGTGTCCCAGTGACTGTGTGATAATTTCTAGAAGACTAGACACTGAGGTGCTTTTTTTTTTCTTTTCTTTGAGAGATTTTGGTATAGGGCATGTGCTCTCCAGAGAGAGTGAGAAATCACCCCCCAGTGGGGGGTGGGCATGTACAATCCCTTCTCCTTCGTTCTCCTCTTGGGATTTTGGGCACACACGCACATGTGCCCAGTGTGAGTTTTAAGCTGCCGAGTCTGTGACTTGAACTGCGGTCGACTATGTGAGAGAGCCTAACCATTATGCCACCTGCTGGTCCTGACACGGGGGTTCTGATAGAACATGTTGTAATCTGTCTTCTGGAGTTATTCAGGTGCTCCTTAGAAACGGTCCGAGCACTTCATTATGACCAGCACTGG